CTCGCGGGGGCGTCAGGAAAAATGAAGCTGAGGCTGCCGAGTGGGAGAGCGCATGGGAGAGGACTGCCGCGAACGGCAACAGGACGAGCTGGCAGCCGCCATCCACCTTACATTAGAACGGAGGCATGGGCCTAGTGTTGTCCTAACGCCACTCTCACAGAAACTAGACAACGGCAAGCCCAATACGAGTATATTGGGGCCGAGAATGAATGCCACCAGCCCTTTAGGGCGTGAGTGGTTTAGGGAGGTTCCTCTTCCGACCCCCCGTTTCCCTTTCGGAGAAGGGTCATCACTGTTCCCTATCACTGAACACCCCCTCCCCCCGGGGGACCAGCAGCCAACCAGGACTAATGAACCCCGCACCCACTGTACCACTCGAAAAACCATACAAACACACTTTGGGACAACTTCTTGGATCATGATCGTGGGCCCCGCGAGCACTTCGTCTTGCTTTTGTCAGGGACGGCGGGACGGTGTCATATTGCCTGCTGTGCGCAGGGCCACCATCCGTGCCAAAGAAACACAAACGAAGTGCACTTCGCGGCTATATCTGGATCATGCGCGGCCACTCCGCGGTCACTTTGCATTGGTGTTTGACAAGGGCGGCGGGGCATATTGCCTGCTGCGCGCAGGCCCACCAAGCACCATGATGGCCACCCCGCCGCGATTGTGCACTGGTTTTCGACGAGGACAGTGGGGGCCGACATGTTCCCCGGTGTGTGCTGTCACGAGCGCAGGCGCACCTGGTAGTTTCTGCGTGTACCCCAAACGTGGCGCACTTGGCGCGGCTGGTGCATGCGGCACACATGATGCACGTGGAGCACGTGGTGCATCTGGCGGGCCAGGCGGGCCTGGCACGCTTGACCCCAAGGGGTGCCTGGCGCGCGTGGGGCGCGCGTGAGGCGCGCCTGGCACGCGTGGCGCACCTCGCGCTTGCACCGCGCAAATGAGGTTTGTTTTTTTTCCCAGTAGCTGTCCATCCATAGACGACCGCTGATTGCGCTGAGGCTTGGGTGCTACTTATGTGTTGGGACTGCGGGTGGGAGTGAGCGAGACAGCTTGCAGGCGGGGAGGGTGCCATGACCCCTCCCCCTGCCCCTCCCCCTAAACCTGAACGAGAGACTCCACGAGGCGTTGGAGCGTCCAAGATGGCCTCGATGAAAAATCAAAAAACATCGGTTTTAAACGGGTGTTGGCCCCATTTCGGCCTCCAGGGGGGGGGGGGGCCTAATTGAGTACCCCTCCTTCTTTCGTCGAACTTCTCCAAGATGGCCCCAAGATGGCCCTAAACGTTCCCAGGAGTGCCCCTTGAGGGCCCCACGAGGCGCCCAGCGGAGGAGGCCCCAAGAGGCCCCCAAGAGGCTCCCTAAGAGGCTCCCGAGAAATCCTCAAAAGGCACCAAGAGGCTCCAGCGAGGGAGCCAAGACGCTTCAAGAGGCCACGGGGACCGACAAAAGGCCCTCAAGACGCTCCAAGAAGCTCTCAAGAGACATCCGAAGAATATCCGGAGGCATCCAAGAGGCGTCTGGACATTCTGCTCTCCCTCGTCATCCTCCTCCGCCTCCTCCTCCTCCTCCTCCTCCGCCTCCTCCTCCTCCTCCTCCTCCTCGCCCCATGAGGGCCCCACGACGCGCCCAGCGAAGGAGGCCCCAAGAGGCCCCCAAGAGGCTCCTGCCCGAAAGATCACCAAAAGGCCCCAAGAGGCTCCAGCGAGGGAGCCAAGACGCTCCAAGAGGCCACAGGGACCGCCAAGAGGCCCCCGAGACGCCCCCAGAAACTCGCAAGATACATCCGAAGAAACTCCTGGAGGCATCCAAAAGGCCTCTGGCCATTCTGGTTCTCCTCCTCCCCCTCGTCCTGCGCCTCCTCCTCCCCCTCCTCCTCCTCCTCCTCTCCTCCTCCTCCTCCTCCTCCTCCTCCTCCTCCTCCCCCTCCTCCTCCTCCTCCTCCTCCTCCTCCTCCTCCTCCTACTCCTCCTCCTCCTCCTCCTCCTCCTCCTCCTCCTCCTCCTCCTCCTCCTCCTGCTTATCCTTCTCCTCTTTGTCTTCCCTCCTCCTCCTCCACCTCCACCTCCAACTCCACCTCCACCTCCACCTCCACCTCCACTCCTCCTCCTCCTCCTCCTCCTCCTCCTCCTCCTCCTCCTCCTCTCCTCCTCCTCCTCCTCCTCCTCCTCCTCCTCCTCCTCCTCCTCCTCCTCCTCCTCCTCCTCCTGCTCATCCTGCGCCTCCTCCTCCTCCTTCTCCTCCTCCTCCTCCTCCTGCTCCTCCTCCTCCTCCTCCTCCTCTTCCTTATCCTGCTCCTCCTCCTCTCCTCCTCCTGCTCCTCCTCCTCCTCCTCCTCCTCCTCCTCCTCCTCCTCCTCCTCATCCTCCTCCTCCTCCTCCTCCAACCTCCTCCTCGTCCTCCTCCTCCTCATCCTCCTCCTTCTCCTCTTCCGCCTCTTCCTCCCCCTCCCCCTCCTCCTCCTCCTCCTCCTCCTCCTCCTCCTCCACCTCCTCATCTTCCTCCTCGTCCTCCTACTCGTCCTTCTCCTCCTCCTCCTGCTCCTCCTCCTCCTCCTCCTCCTGCTCCTCCTCATCCTCCTCCTCCTAATCGCCACCATCAGGAAAAAGAGAAACAACCTATGGTAATTTAAATGATGCTCTCTCCCTCTCTCTCTCTCTCTCTTCCTCTTCATTGCCCGCGAGTCGTTCAGCATGTTTCCCCAAAACCCTCTGACTCCCGCCCTCTTCCTTCATGGACGGACCCCTGTTCGGGTAGTCTTCTTTTGTGCCACCTCCTGGATAAAACTCCGACACGGCAAGGCAAGCGGGCTGGGCGGGCGGCCCCCAGCGGACGCTTCGGGCGGGTCGGGCTGTCGGGCGGCTCATTGAGGCGGGCGGCTCGCGGCGCTCAAGCCATCGAGCCGGCAGACCCTGACGGGCGAGTCAGGCGGCGGACCCCAACCGGCGGGTCGGAAACGGGCGGGCGGGATGCGAAGGCAAACGGGCGGATGTCCAAGCAGTCGAGCCTGCGGACCCTTGCAGGAGGGGCCAGGAGGGCGGGGCCGAACGGGCGAGTTGGGCCCGAGGACCTATCGGGCGGGCCGGGCGGGCAGGACATGCAATCGGGATTCCTTCACAAGTTGATAGGAAGCCTCAGGCGAGAGGGCGAGTCCTACTTATGTTACGGGGACGTCCTTCGCAAAAGCACGACTCCAGCAGTGCGAATCCTGAATCAAATACTGAAAAGTTCCAGGCAAGAGCAGGATGTGTTGGTAATGATAGCCAGCATGGACCCCAAATAGTGCGTTATCCGCCGACCCCCGCTTGCTGGGGGTGAAAAGGCGTGTGCTTCTCCTCCTCCTCATCCTCATCCTCCTCCTTCTCCTCCTCCTGATCTTCCCCGCCATCCTCCCCGAAGGGTTTCCAGAACGGCTGGGCGAACACGTGGTCCGATAGCGTGGCAAAGCTCTCGCCACAACGCTCGGCCACACGGGCGATTCCAAGAGACAAGGGGCGGCGGTGACTCGCCGTAGGCGTCTTCGATACTCGCTCTTTTTAGGCGACGAGCCCAGGGGGGAAACGAGAAGGAGAAGGCCTTCTCAGAAGGCCGCGGGACTTCTTAGAAGTCCGGGGGGCTTCTGAGACGTTTCCTTGGCCTATTTCGAATACAGACAGAACTTCTCAGAAGCCCTCTCAGAAGTCCAGGAACTTCTCAGAAGCCTCGGAAGTCCCGCCCCTTCTCATTTCCCCCCCGCGCCCGCCGCCGACTTTTGCCTGACAAATTCCACGACGGCCCAAGGGGCGGCGGTGATTCGCCGTAGGCGTCCAGCAACCCTGCGGACCCCGCCAGCGCACGGGGCGCACACGAGGCGCCCACGAGGCGCACGCCGGGCGAAACCTCGGCGGGCCCGGCCGGCGCGCGGGGCGCCCACGGGGGGCCCACGGGCGCCCACCGGGCGAAACCTCAGCGGACTCGGCCAGCGTGCGGGGCGCCCACGAGGCGACCACCGAGGGAAAGCTCGGCGGACCCACGTACCGCTCGAGTACGGGATCGACGACAGAGTAGAATTTGCCCCAAGGTTAACTGTTCCGTCGAAGCTGCGCCCAAAAGTATAGAATGCTCAGTAGATCTACGGAACTTTCGACGCATGTTCCATAGATTCGATGGAAGATCTGGTTTGGGATAAATCCGCCGGCCCCCTTGTGGGGCCACCAGGCTGCGAGGCGCGTGATTCGCAGTTTCCTATACCAGTTGTAGTTTGTAGTTTCCAGTGTTACAGTTCTGCTTCTTGCTGGTTACTGTAACTAGTTGACTGATTGCTGGTTACTGTAACTAGTTGATTGACCGCGCGAGTGGGGGGGAGGCCCAGACAGGATTTTTAGCCTCACCTGGGCGCGTTGTCTGAATTGCTGGGGGGGCTCGAAATCGACACCCCTCACGCAGATCCGCGGGGTCAGGGTCCAAAAACACAAGGGATTTGCCACATTTCTGAAATTCGGTGCCACCCCTCACGCAGATCCGCGGGGTCAGGGTCCAAAAACACATGGGATTCGCCACATTTCTGAAATTCGGTGCCACCCCTCACGCAGATCCGCGGGGTCAGGGTCCAAAAACACATGGGATTTGCCACATTTCTGAAATTCGGTGCCACCCCTCACGCAGATCCGCGGGGTCAGGGTCCAAAAAACACATGGGATTTGCCACATTTCTGAAATTCGGTGCCACCCCTCACGCAGATCCGCGGGGTCAGGGTCCAAAAACACAGGGGATTTGCCACATTTCTGAAATTCGGTGCCACCCCTCACGCAGATCCGCGGGGTCAGGGTCCAAAAACACATGGGATTTGCCACATTTCTGAAATTCGGTGCCACCCCTCACGCAGATCCGCGGGGTCAGGGTCCAAAAACACATGGGATTTGCCACATTTCTGAAATTCGGTGCCACCCCTCACGCAGATCCGCGGGGTCAGGGTCCAAAAACACATGGGATTCGCCAAATTTCTGAAATTCGGTG